CCGGCGTTCCCGAGCCTGCTGTTCGCGCGGCCCTTCCCTGCTTTCACACCCGGCCGCTCCAGGCGTCCCGCTGCAGCCCTTCGGTTCTTTATCCCCATTCAATCTTCGGTTTCCTTCCGTACTATTTAGTAACGCTACAGCAGAGGCCAAGCTTGCGATTTTTTCTCTGCAGAGGAGAGCTTTATGTGGCTGGGGGATGTGCAAAATCCGTGCACGAAACCAAAGCTATCTTTTTTTGGTTAAGCCAAGGACGTGCTCATTTGACTTCTTAAAAGCCTTTTTTGCAGAGTGTGAATGCTGGACGTTACTTGCCAGGCGGCTCCAACAAGCTGAGGTCATCCAGGTGCGCGCTAGGCTAGTTACACTTGATCCCCTTAGTATGGTCAATTCACAGCCTGGTACCGAGTTTGTCCTGACAAACTGTAGTCCCATGGGTATTCTTCAGCATATTAATTAATGTTGTGAGCAAGGACAGAGAGGAGAGACTGCAAAATGAAACAAACTCATTTACAAGGCCCCAGTTTCAGGACCCTAGTACCACCTACTAGATGCTTGATATTAGAAGGACATTTCCCCCATATTAATACGCCTAGCGGAGTCCCTCGGCTTCCTCTGAAGCATTTGGCAACTGCTCCAATGACAGAGATGAGGGGCAGAGCTAAAACGCCAGTGGTCTGATCAGGCATGACAAATTTCTGGGTTTTCCTTCCTCCTGCCAACATTCTATAAAGTTTTTACTGGGTGTAATCTGTTTATCTTTGTAATACCTGAAGCCACACCGGGCAATTTACCAAAATAATTTTATAACTACCACCATCAAGAAAATCCTCACCCCCTTCACAGATCAGAGTAAAGTATATTCTGCTGTGCAACATCAAGAGCAACTTGTTATACCCAAATGTTTTGCATTTGAGCTGGCATCTAAAGGTAAACAAACAAACAGAAAGCAAACCAGGCAAATCCTAGCCCACAAAGGCTTACTAAGGCAGGCCTAAACTATTTAGATATGTATTTGGGTTTACAGGCTATAGAATTCTTTGGAGGATATAATCTTTCAGCTATAAAAATGTTAATAAGTACTCGGTTTAAAATTAATAAAAAGCTTGATGTTCTTATAAGATTGCTAAGTGCAGTCACCAGAACAAATACTAAATATTTTGTTAAAACGTGAAAGTTGTGTATATCAAAATGTTCTTTATCAGTGGCATTCTTGTGTATTTATTGCTTTTCTCTTGTTTAAAGTGGCTTGATGTTGTCAGAGCTAAGACTAACCAAAGCCAGACACACATGGATGCAACATATCCACCAGACTATTGTTTCTAAAGTGATTTTTAGAACATGTTATAATATATTTTTAAAATAATTCAAGGTATACTGAGGGTGTTAAAACTGGAAAAGTCAGTAACAATTTTAGTATCTTTTTTCTCATTTCTTAGATACGCGTTCAGTTACAGATTTCCCAGTATTGGGAAGCTTATGGGAATTGCCTAGTGACTCCAAACTCAACACACTTGCTTAAAATGACCTCTCCATGCTTTGTAGCTCAAAGGAGTATGAGGAAGCTGTGTGGTTGTCCCTTACTGAATTCTAATGGAAAAAATACTCCCTTAAAAATCTTCACCACGTTATTAAATGATCCAAAAATATTATAGGTGGGGCTCGCACAACTGCCAACTGTTAGGATTGCCAGACACCTCCTATTATAAGACCGCATTTTCGGTCACTTAAAAACTTTGCCAAACTTAAACTGTTTGGCTGAAAATTTCCCTCACCAGGTGTGTGCCTCAGTGATAAGTTACTTGAAAATCTGCAGCCAAACAGCTTAGACCTTTCCAAGAACAACCCTATCGAAGCATCAATCGTTTGGTCCGTGGTGCCAGATTAGAGAAACCTTCTCTTTTGAGAAGCTTCTGCATCCCCACGTTTGGAGCAGAGATTAGGACGGGAGGTA